CAACTGTCTGTTGTAAGGTAGGTTGTATTCCTGTATTATAACAGTAGCAAGTATGGTGATGTGAATTACCAACTATTTTAGATCAGACATCCATGAAAATTGTTGATTAAAATAATGCCCAGACCCAATGAGAATATGATAGAAATCTATGCATAGTAATTACCTAATTTGCGTAATTAATTACGTAATTTGTGTGGCAGTACTTTTATGGTATTCATTTCTATACTAAATACCCACCTGTATTTCAGCTCAATAAAGTAGAGGAAGCCATTGAAGATTGTACTAAAGCGATAGAACTTGATGATAAATATGTTAAAGCATACCTCAGAAGGGCCAAGTGGTAAGGTTCCATAATCAGTATAATTTGGTGTTTGTCTGTCTGTCTGTCTGTGTGTATGTATGTCTGTATGTATGTCTGTATGTATGTCTGTCTGTATGTATGTCTGTATGTATGTATGTATGTATGTATGTGATTCACAAGGTGTATTAATATTTCATACTGGTACCCTAACTTGGAAATGTATTACTGTAAAAGGGGCTAATTATTCACTGGGTTTTAATTTTGCTAATTTTGCTGACTGAAAAATGAGCCAAATTAAAACCCAGTGAATATGTAAAATATAGCATAGAACACATTATCTAAATGATAAAATTGTGAATTTAAAACATACTGAATATGCCTGAAATGCTAAATCAGCGAAATTTAAACCCAGTGAAAATTAGTCATTTTACAGTATTACAGATATGATCTTTAGAGAGTTTGGAATAGGTGAGTTGTATTTCAATGATCCTGTGTGCAATGGATATAATGTTAGGCTCTGCTGTCATCGTAGATTACAGAGTTGAGGTGTTCATATAGGTGGTCGTCCATCTTTTGTCCATCAATAATTTCATTTTGACTTCTTCTTGAAAACTACCAACTCAATTGCTTTGATACATCCTATCAAATTGAGCTGGCAATTTTCAAAAGTAAAAAGTTTTACGGGTCTGCGTTGCTCGACTTGGCTACCACATGTCCTTGTAGTTTATGTCTGCTTCTGTTAGTGATGCGAAAATAGAGCAAATAAGTTATCCGTGAAAATTCCATATTTATTTATAAACTAATGTGGTGTGTAACAACTGTTGTATATTTTATAGTTACACAGATTCAGAGAAATATGAAGAAGCTGTGAGAGACTATGAAAAAGTCTACCAAATGGACAAAAATAGAGGTATGATAGTTATCTGAATCTCTATATCGATTGAGTCATTTTTCAATATTGAAAAGTAACACATATAATTGTTGAATATATCACGTCTGTTTGATTCAGCAACTATCATGTGAATTTTAAGCTACTAAGATCAACATGTTTGTGTTCTACAATACTTAATGCAAGTTTGTTCTTTTTGTGAGATACAAATTTCTTCCCTGGCTCTGTTTTCCAATAGTGCAGTGCAATGTTTTTACATACCAAGAGTTTTTTCATGATATGTGGCTCTCAATCACCACTTCAGCTGAATAATATGAACTTATGTAACCTATCAAATTGTTTGTTTGTTGATTCATTACTCTTGTACATTTAAGTTTAAAAACACATCCATATATTTTTTTGCAGAGAACAGACGACTCCTTCAAGAGGCTAAACTAGAATTAAAAAAGAGTAAAAGGAAAAATTATTACAAGATATTGGGAGTTGAGAAAAATGCATCAGAGGACGCAATAAAGAAAGCATACAGGAAAAGAGCTCTCATACACCATCCCGGTATGATGATGTTTGTTGATGTTATTCCCAACAGTTATTCACATGATTGACTAACCATGTTGTACATGGTGATCTACTGTTAGACTAAATTATACAAATTCCACATGTCGATGAAAATCACAAAATTTTGTAGCTGTGAACGTATCATTTGCTCGTCAGAGTGATTTTTTCAAAAATTTGATTGAACGTGATTGCCATAAAATCATCAAATCATGATAATTTCTAGCCATAAAAATGAAACTGTTTACAGTATGATTTGTAATCAAGGTAGAGGCCATTTTGATTTGAATTGTATATTACGATGACCCTATATTTCTAATAAATTTTCTTCATTCTTATAATATATCAATTTATATGTGGTACATTGCGATTACAGATCGACATGCAAATGCGTCTGATGAAGAAAGGAAACAAGAGGAAATCAAATTCAAAGAAATTGGTGAAGCTTATGGTGTCTTGTCAGATGCTAAAAAACGAAGTCGATATGACAGTGGAGCTGATCTTGATGACGATGGTTCTGGGTTTGGTGGTGAGTAATGCTATATATATTCTATGTGTAAATCATACACATGGTTGGTGCTTTTCTGATTCTATTGTTTATTTTAAAATTAAAACTTGTGTATTAATAATAATAAATATGATACCTTGTCAATAAAGATAGTCATTCCTGTATTATGGTTTACAGTCAAAGCAACAAACAAAATAACATTTGAAAAATAACATTTGAATTAAAACTAAAAACGTAATTTGTTTAAATAGCACTCACTCTTTTTTAAAATGCTGAACAGTAGGTGCCAATAAAAATTATCTTGAAAATATCAAACAAATATTAGTTTGATCTGTAAACTGCAAATCCAAACCTATATCAGCTATTGTTTCTTTGTCTGTGTAATTACAAAATAAAATGACACAAATATTTTCTAAACACAAGAGTTTATTGTAAATCCAAATTAATGGGCAACTATTACAAAAATAAAGTAGTATGGCAACCCAACAAGTATATATTTTTGGATGAATGGGTTTGATTTTTCTTGCCAAACAGCTGTGAAATACAAAGCACCTAGCTTTAAAAAAACTTGTTAAAATAACTTTAAGAAGAACACACTTTTCTGACCAAAATCAGTTACTGTAAAATCTGTATTAGAAGCCGTCGCTTCTATTAAAATACTGTGGAATACTTTATTTTCGCTGGAATTAATTTTCGCTGAAAAGGCTTTTTGGACGTTTTGTATGGAATTTATTTTCACTGATTTTTGATGAGTTTAATGTGCAATATAGGAAAAAAAGTATATTCACTGGATTTTATTTTCACGGAATCATCCTTTCAGCGAAAATAGCGAAAATAAATTCCAAGCGAAAATAAAGTATTCTACAGTAGTACAATGCAACAGAGGGGATGCGGCTTCTGTTAGAGCATGGAACTATAAACCACAGGAAGAGCAACTACTTCGTTTCCTTTGAACTATGATAGTTGCCGTGATATCGAATGTTTGTTTTGATTGTTTATTTCGTCGCATTAAAAAATGCGGCTTCTAATACAGATTTTACGGTATATGTTTATTGTAACAATAAATATAGGGTGTGTATAAAACTTACTAACTTGGTGACTGAACATCACTGTCTTGACCAAAAACAAGTTGACAGTGAATTAAAAAGGTTCATTAATTAAAAAAAAGTAACATTAATTATGTCCTGATTTGAACACAAAATATTGCCTTTTACTTTACATCCTGATTATGTGACAATTACCGTAAAATTCCTAATTGAGGCCGCGACTTTAATTATAATTCATTTTTTCAATGGACGAATTCAGGTGCGTGAAGTCTATGTGCGGCCTTAATTAGAGCATTCACTTCGGTAACAGTGGGAAATGTTTTCAAAAAAACAAAGGCCAGAAGGGATAATGATATGCTAATGAGATGCACGACACTTGATTGCAACTTTGTTGCGATTCTAAGCGCACTTTCAAATTTTTACACACAGACAAACTTGTACACAAACGAAATTTCACACTATATAACATACTGCACAATAAAATAGATTTATATGCATTAGCAGATTACGGTACTGTACACTACA